TTTTAAATTTGGATTGACTGCCGACCTACCTCCTGTAGTGAGGATGTTTATCAGAATCTGAGTAAAGTCGACAAAGACACTGAATTAGTGCTGGGGGAAACTAGGGCAGACAGAAAGAACAGAGGGACGGTAAAGAAGTATTTGACGCTCATATGACCTTATGCAGTTGCGAGCGCCGTAAAACCTCTACTAAAATTTTTTTTAAAAGAAGTATGATCTACTAATGGCATCCTCCACCCATAAAAGTAGAAAAGTAATTTATTACTTAGAACATGCATCAGAATAACATAGAGTTACAGTCAGAATACTGAGTATGTATCTAGCCTGAGATTATTATTGTTTATAATTACTGTTCATTTATATTATGCATGTGACTATGGGCCTGCTTGCGTGTGTATGTGTGTGTGTGTGTGTGTGTGTAGGGAGGGGGGTGCTAAAGTATACCATATTTACCCTTTTAACTAGGCGTGAGATCACCGATTCGTAGAAACAACTGTCTAGTTAATACTAAACTTAGCCCTCCCTTTCCCCCCTCTTTACCCAATCCTTCATCTATTTTTTTTTTCAGAATGCAGCTGTTACGAAGAAGAAGAATTTGTTGAACACAATGAGCGCTTCGAACAATAAACAGTGTAATTTAAGTCAAAGTCCTACAATATAAGGCATTTCCCGCGGGCGACAGGACCCCTCCAGCCTCTGTCCTATGGTATCGTGCAGAAAACTGGCGACAGTCCTGCTTCAGGCTCTGTCCTTTCATCATCATCAAGTGCCAGATCTGCGACAGACATCGGCGATCACGGTTCTCCATTCATTCCTTTGCTCAGATGTTTTAAAAAAAAGCTACGTTTCCCTGATCTTTCCAAGTTACCCTTTTGTTTATGTTCTCCAAGACGGTTGCTATGGGCCTACCCTTGCCTCGTTTTCCTTCAATTTGTGCCAGTGAGAGCTAGATGTTCAAGACCTTTATGTCTACTCAGCTGTCCCAAAAACTGCATTTATTGTCGTTTCCTGATTGATTTTAACAGTGAGCTTCCTACTTGGGCTTCATTAAGCACTACCTCATTTGATTTCTTTTCCTTCCACGCTCTGTCAGATAAATGCATTACATGTATTGTCTTCAGATGGATCACAATACAAGAGACAGTTGGCTATTACCTAAACAGGCTGGTGTTTGCTGTGAATCGATTATTATGTATCTGTAACGTACACATATCATAGGCTTTTTTAAAAGATATTTTTTTAAAACATGGTTTTTTTTGTTTAGGTGGAAATATCTGCCTGTCTAGCGCTATAGCTGCTCTTGAAGTTTGACATACATGTACTTCTGGACTCATGCACCGCAAGGTTTTTTTCTCAAAGTGTCATACCCCTTCCTCCTTTTCCTTCGGAAAAATCTAATTCCAAACGCACAATTAGAAGCACTCTGTGAGAGTCTTTTTTAACTTTTATTTTGGTAAGTTTTTTACGGCCGTCGCAATTGCTTAAGGTCATTTGACCGCGCAGGACACATTAAACATTTTCAGTCGGTAGGAAATTTTGAATTTTGTCCGGGTGGCGGCCAGAGTCTGCTCTTATCGATTTTGGACCTCCAAGGGATCTTAACGTGGGCAACTTGAACACGGGCCCTCGGAGATTTTTCGCCCTTATCCGAGAAGGCTGGGTGTAGATCTTACCTACCATAAGATCAGGGGTGTGGCTGAAAGACAGCAGTAAGAAGCCAAGGAGTACCATTAGAAAGGTTGCAGAAAGAGTCGGGCTCAGAGCAGGGGGCAAAGGAGGTGAGGGGGCGGGGGCAGAAAGTAGGGACGAAAGCAGACAACAGAATATTGTTAGAGAGCAGGACATGAGGTGAAAAGAGAACATTTTAGAGAAGACAATTTTCCGTCGCTATCCAGATTCGAACCCGGGACCTATTAAATGCGAGGCGAACACATAAACCTCTGGACCTCGACCACGAGAGCCCCCTTGCAAGAGTCTGAGATCATTACATGTATTTTTTCCTACCCTTTCCACTCGGCATATTCTTTACGTAACATATTATCCACATGTATGCTTAAAAACGGACACACAGAGAAAAAAATGAACTGTGTTCAGTTTGCAAAATCCTTGAGGAGAGTTTGGTAGATTGTGAATGTCTCTAGCCCTAATCAACACAATGGAGGCTAGGTCATCTCATACTGAGGTCAACAATAACTCTTTGAGGAATGACGGAGTGGCTCTGGACACAAAGTAACACTCACGTCTCCACGCGCGAATCGAAGTAATCTTTTGTGAGCATGCCGAAGAGCCATAACATTTATCACAAACCCCGCTACCCTAGAATATTACAAAGTTCTGTCAGCTCAGTACTTAGTTTTGAGAAATTGACGAAATAAATTTCGAGTTTTAGAGCATGACAAGCTTTTTCGAATGCAATTCTTTGAATATATTGAAAACGACTCCGAATAATCTTACGATTTTGAAAGAGCAGATAGAACATTTGATATCTGGCCTCATGGTCTTAGTAACTCGAAACAGCCAAGAATGTCAAACAGAACTTTGTAATTCTGAGGTAGCGAGTTACAAAAGACGGGAAGAAGTTTGGTGCAGAAAAGGAAGAAATAAAGATTCACAGGACCCCCCCCCCCCTTCCTAACAACAGGACTTGAGCTCCTGAACTTGTTCTGGACCTGGTCTGTGGTGTAGCGGTTAGGCTCTTTGCTATTGTACGCAGTATACCCGAGTTCGAATGCCGAGTGATGAAAAATCTTTATCGAGTGTCTAGGTATTTCTGCTGGGATGTTTTATCTCGCCCAGACCGGATTGGCCCAGATATGCTAGATCAGAAGCCCCCTAAATGATCTAAATTGTGTCGATGTAAAAACACCTACATAAAAAATCCAAACCCAAAGCAAGCACAATCTCGTTCTTTGACAGTTAGATTTACACCTTCTGAGGTTCAATTCCATCCAGCTCAATTCCAGGTTATTGTAAACATAACCAGTGTACAGGCAGATACGAGGGGGGGGGGTCAATAAGTCTTTGGCCCGGGTATGAAGGAACATGGTAGAGTAATGAAATTTTGCTAGCCTTTAGACAATATCTTTGGAACACACCATGCAAATTTTCGAGAAAATCCGACAATAATAAGGCACTAGTCAGCGTGTTCAATGAAACCATGCACAAAAACGTTTGGATTTTCTTTGCTGAAGCTGTGCCATGGAGCCTGTTGAATATCGCTCAGTTATCAAGTTTTTACACTTGCAAGAAAAATCCCCTTTGGGCATTTTTTTCAGTAATGGTCTAAGTTTATGGTGACAAATGTCCTCGTTATAATACTGTGACGTAGTGGGTAAAAAAAATTCTAATCTGGATTCACGTTGGTGACGGATGAAGATCGTGAAGGGTGCCCATCGTTTGTGGTAACTGAAGAGAATGTATCCATAGTGAAGAAACTGATTTTACAAGACCGACGTATAACTATTAAACAGCTCTCAAGTGAAACGAGAATCAGTGCAGGGTCAATTGAAACGATTCTCCATGACCATCTTAACATGAATAAGGTGTCTGCACAGTGGGTAAACCGCCCTTTGACAAGTGAGCAAAAGAAGCAGAGGGTTGAGTCCTGCAAAACCCTCCTTCGAATTGAGTCCAATGACACACATTTCTTTAAAACCATGGTGACTATGGGTGAAACATGGATTTATCATTTTGATCCAGAAAAAAAATGTCCTCCATGCAATGGAAAACCCCTTCTTCCCCCTCACCAAAAAAGGCAAAGGTAACACCGTCAAGTAGAAAGGTCATAATGTCGTGTTTCTGGGATTGTGAAGGTATCATCATGATCGACTAACTGGACAATGGAAAAACAGTCACAGGGGACTACTATTGGGGTTTGCTGATAAAACTGCGGTCGGAATTGGAGAGAAAAAGGCGTGGAAAACTCCGTCATGGAGTCCTCCTTCTGCATGACAACGCCTTTGTGCACAGGGCACAACAAACAGTCCTGACAGCAGAACAGTGAGGCTTTGAAATCCTGCCACACCCAGCTTATTCACCAGACCTAGCCCCCTTCAGACTTTTTTGTTTCCTAATCTTTAAAAAAATACGGAAAGGACGTCTTTTTCATGACAACGAGGATGCAGTTGAAGGTGCGGAAGACTGGTTAGGGGCCCATTCTTGGTTATTGTTCTCTCAAGGACTTTTGAAGGCCAAAGAGAGTTGGCAGAAATGTGTTACTCTGCATGGTGACTATGTAGAGAATTGAAAGTATGTGTGCTAAATTACAAAGCTCAATCTTTATTTCTTCATATTCATACCAAAGATTTCGAACCACCCCCTCGTAGAATAATAATAATAATAATAATAATAATAATAATAATAATAATAATAATAATAATAATAATAATAATAATAATAATAATAATATGTAGCATTTGTATAGCGCAAATCCCCGCTCACCAGCAACCTCTATGCACTTTACAATACTCTTACCCCAGCAGACCTGGGAGCATTCTGAAACAAACTCAACTTCCTGGGAAGCATACCGTGCAAGCAGTACAGACAGACAGAGAGAGAGTGGGCGAGGGAAAAAGAGAAAGGAGAGAGAGTGTGTGTTTGTGTGTGTGTGTGTGTGTGTGTGTGTGTGTGTGTGTGTGTGTGTGTGAGTGTTTGTTGTGTTTGTGTTTGTGTATATGTGTGTTTGTGAGTAGATTCAATAGAGACAAACACACATATAATATACAAAAGTGTACAGATTAGAACACGTGAACTCAAGCAGAAATTCTTTGCTACAAAAAGACAAGAACGGGCACATACGAGTACACACAGCATCAGAGAAAGTGAAACATTGGCAGCAAATGCTGAGATGCATGTATAGCAACTCCAGCTGGGAAAGCAAGAAACCGAAAAAGAAGACTTTAGCGACACTGAAAGCCAAAGTTGATGTAATGCCACAACAGAATACAAAAAATACCCTTTTTTGTTTTTACATTAACTTGCTTTATTTCTATAATTAATATATTTGGTCAGTATCCATTCATTGTCAGTGGCGTGTGTGGTGACACATTTCGTGTCGCTTAGTCATCGCCAAAGTCATCTTGTGTGTTCTCTTGGCACTGGCATTTCTGTGCACTGTAGTGCTGTAAATAAGAATAAAGACAGTTGTTTTAATAATGGTCATAATTAATGTAACTATGATGATACAGGAACTATAACAAAACAAAAAACAAAAAAGAGATAAGTTATAACGACAATACGATTATTATTCAATATGAATATTACCGTTTTGAGACGGTTTTGATTCTGATAGTGTTGATGATAACCACAACAAAGCTAACTTGTAGAAAAAATCCCTCCCCAATGCAATAAAAAATAAGCTACTGAGGAACAGGAAATTTTGTACAACATAATGAATATTTTCAGCAAATACCAACACCCTTGCCAAGATGCGTTAAGTTTTACTTTTAGTAAGAATTTTAAGGAACTTGTAACACAATGAGGTCATATAAGTGCCGAAGACTAGAGGAGTCATAAGACTACCGGTATAGCAAACACAAAAAGGAGGAGAGCTATAAATACGGACGATAGATGTTTGATAGGAAAGAAAGAACAAACCACACCAGAGCACCCGCCAACCTCCCACGGAAGCAAGAGCTTCTTGAAAAAAAACCCCAAACATGGCAATACTCAAAAGGGGATAAACAATGAACGTACTATATGCTTGAAGGTTCTGGAGAACTCTTGTTCAGGTGAGGTATTGTAGCACATGATGTCAACCTCTTTACGTTCTACTGCGATAGGCTTGCAGCAAGTGTCGGAACCACCCTCGCACAACAGTTCACCGCAAGTGAAGATTTCAACGCTGGGACCTGTGCAGGTTTCCACAAGGCTGGAGTGGTGGTAGTGGACAGTTCCTGGGACTGGACCATCTGCACACATTCGTTTGGCTGGTTCTTCTAAAAAATGAGAGAAAGAGAAACAAAACCACTGCAATATATATTATTATATAAT